CCACTTCCAAAAAGAAAAAAACAAAAACAAACCAGGACAGAACCAAATCATTTGCAGGGTCAACACATGAATAATTTTTTTTATATAAATTAATATAAATTATCATTTTTTTTAAATTCAAAAAATAAACTAAAATTTAATATTAAATTAGTAGATAAAAAATAAAACAATCATATAATTAGTGAATTTAATATATAAATAAAAATAAAGTTATGTATTAAGTAATTAATTATACAAATCAACTCAATGATTGACTATGTAATAAAATTTTCAATAATTTTCCTTTCAATGTACACGAACAAAGAATCTATAAAAAATTAATCTTTCATTTTGTCACGAGGCCTAATTTTTATGATTAAAAGTGATCGCTCTATATAGTTGAGCAAGGATCTCCTCCGTGCATTTTCTACTTGCAAGTCTATTGGGTCCACTTTTTGGCTTAATTTTGATAATCTGGACAGTTCATATTTTAAGATTTGTTCAGCACATTATATTTGTAAAAAATCAAATTGATCGGATATCAGAAAGTATGTGTTCGGAAAACTGTTTATTAAATTCTTTAAAAAAATAGTTTTTAATTTGAGTTTTCCAAACACATGTTTTTTTATATCCGATCAACTTGATTTTTTACAGGTATGATATACTGAACAAATCTTAAAATATGAACGGTTCGAATTATCAAAATTAAACCTAAAAATGAGCCCAATGAATTTATAAGTAAAAAATATAAGGGGGAATCCTGATTCCTATATAGTTACAGTAAAAATAGAAAAAGAAGTGAACTTTTTAACTTAGACAATGACAAAAGCAAAAACAGGGACTATCTTTCCTCAACAATTATATATTATTTAATATCAAGTTCAAAAGTTGTGTGTATTAATATATATATTTTTTGGTCTATGCGTGGATCCGTCCCTGAAAATAACACCTCAAAGGGTCCTCCATTTTTCTCTCTTTATAAAGCCCTCTAGCTCACCATTTGTAATTAGAAGACACTAGAGAGAGAGAGAGAGAGAGAGAGAGAGAGAATAGCAAGAGAGAGAGATGGGGGTGAACACAGTTGAGGGAGTGGTCCGAACCAAGGCCGGAGCTGGTGTGACCACAGTGAACCCAACTGATGGAATTGTTGGAGCCAAGACCAAGCCAAGGTTCAATCCCAAAATTGGAGAGGGCTTGATTTATCCACCAAAGAGGAAGCTGGTAAAGAAGTTGATGTGGGATTGCATGGTTCAAGCCATTGCTTCTTGTTTCTATCCTAATCCTACTTCAAACACTCCTCATCCCTCTGAATTGACCCTCCCCACCAAGCATACTTGCAACAAGAAGTTGAAGATGAAGAAAATCCTTCCTGCCTATACTCCCCTGCAAGATACAATTCCTCATGATCGATGATCGCTCAATGCTCAACCATAATCAACAATATCCTATTTTTATTTTTATTTTTCTAGTCATCGTATATATCATCTTTTTAGCCATCAATAAATTTACGGTGTAAAATATAATATGTTGTGTGTCATATTCAAAATCAATCTTGTCTGTATCGTTCTTTTTTATCCTAGGTAAAATTGTATGTAATTTTTTTTTTTATTTTTTTTTTTTATATGCAGCAAAATTGTATTGTCGTTTTCTGGTTTTTTTTCTTTTTTGTTTTTTTGTTTACGTCAAACTCACTTAGGTAAGACCCTTTAGACTTATTACTTGAGACTCAAAGACCACCTCTTAAGGTTATGAACCAGGCCTAGGTTGATTTATCTGATAAAAAAGTATAAAAATATATAGAAAAATTAATTATAAAGTTAGACACAACACTCTTATATATTGGTAATCACCAAACATTAATCCTAAAGTAAATTCAAGAAAAAGTGGAGAAATTTGAGTTCTTTTGTATCAAAAGAGTCCAGGACAATGGAATTATAAAAAAAAAAAAAAAAAGGTTGGTAATAGATTGATTGACTTGGAGATGATAGGTAGAATCCAAAAAGTTGGTGCATAAACGGAGAGAGAATGAAAATGAGGGTGAGCTTGAACTTCTTTTCAATTCAAATTGACCCAAATGCAAATGTCCTTTCGGGGCTTCACTTTTCAACGAATTTTGGGTTTTCTGGCTTACACATTTTTGGGACATCATATGCCCCTAATGTATACAAAATTTAGGCTAAGTTTGGGAAGTCCCAAATAAGTCAAAAAGTTACTCAAAAAATTAAAAAGTTAACACTATTCACCAAAAGTCAACAATTACGGCTGCACAACTCCCAATTCAAATTTTCTTCTACAAACCAATTTTTACAATTTTTTATTACACATTTTTCCATAAAAAGTCAAAAAGTTAACCCAAACCTCCATATTTTCAATCTCAATTTTTTAGTCCAAAAAGGCAAAAAGTACACTTATTTAGTCTTCCCAAACTTGGCCTTAGTGTGAAAGAATTTGTGGAGGGCATTTAATTGTCAAAATTTTAAATTCTACAGGTTAGATGGATTTGAAAATGAAAAATTACAAAAATAAAAAAATTATACTACAAAAATTTAAAAAGTCAATTTTTTTTTTAATAATTTTTTTAATTTTCATTTTTTAGATCTTTCTAAATTAGACAGACTTAAAAATAATATAAAAAATCAATAAATAAATAAAAATTAAAAAAAAATTATGGCTTTTTTTTATATATATATATATTACCAAACATAACCCAAATAAATTTGAGCCATACATTTTATTTACTGAGTTTGTAGCCTCCGATTCCCTTTGCTTAAGGCTAAAAAAGAATCCTTTTTCAAGTCTTCAATATCTAAGCAAATATTAATTACTCGTCACCCTCATAATTATCATAGTCAGCCAGTTGTCCAAGAGCTAAAGTATAGACTATAAAGTGGTTATTTGGGGGGCAACATTTACCAAAGTTAAAAGATTAATTATTCGGTAGTGTTATAAGTATTAATTTATGTATACATATTAATTAGTGTTATGTCATTATTATTGATCCTGTTTATTATAAAATTAAAAATACTTAAAATCTCTAAAATTATGTCACATCATCTGTTTGTATACTAATTAGTACATTAACTAGTACAATAATATTATTCTTAACTAGTATATTATCCGTACCATGCATGAGATTTTGCTATTTAAAATGAGTTATTGTTAAAAAGTTCATAAGTGATCTACCCTATCAAATGATTCTACATACAACTATCTTATATGTTGATTTATAAATTTATCAACTATCTTTTTCTAAGAGAAACATGATACTACTTCCCAAGATAACCCTTTGGAAGTCTCTATCCTTAACCAACCATAATCTCTTCAATTTTTATCACTTCTCTTTTGAAGCATAAAAATTATACTTTACCTTAGGTCATAACTCTCAAATAAAAACAAATAAGAGTTGGCTTCTAAAATTAAAATTGGGTTTGACATTAAAAATGAGATAGACGTTTACACCCTAATCTTAATCAATAAAAAATTGTCATCAGTCTATACTCAACCCATGGACCAATTGACCCATTTATTAAATTAGTAAATACATACCTCTTATTTTTTATTTTTTTTCATAATAAAATAAGAAATATGTACATTTTTATACATATTGATTAAAATTTATAAATTTATAAATTTACATATTAATGGTTAAAACTATTACATGAATAGTTTAATATATTTATGTGTAAAACAACTATCTAAGATCGAGTCGGCTTCTGTAACAAAATATCAAGACGCCCATCGGATTTTTTTGAACCTGCTGCGGGTCTGCGGCAAGGCGACCCCCTTTCGCCGTATTTGTTTCTATTGGTAATGCATGTCTTTTCAGAAGGATTTGCGCATTTGGCGTCTCTTAACATTTGCCGTGGTATTGCTATTAGTCGTCAGTCGCCCCCTATTTTACATTTGCTCTTTGCTGATGATTGTTTTATATTCCTCAACTATAAGACAGAAGAAATTTGGTGATTCCATTGGTTTTTAAATGCTTTTTGTCACTACTCCGGGCTGCGTATTAATTTTCATAAATCGGAGCTTTATCTTAGTCCCAATTTTTCACAATTGGCTAAGGACTGGCTGGTTTCTCTTTTTGGAGTTAAAGTTGTCCCAAAACCCGGCATCTATTTGGGGGCTAACTTGGGTTTCTCCGGGCACTCAAAGTCGGACATATTTACCTCAATTCTGAGTAAAGTTAGCCACAAGTTACAAGGCTGGAAGTGTGATTTTTTAAATTTTGCAGGTCGGGGTATTTTGGTCAAACATGTCCTTCAATCCATTCCGGTGTACCTTATGACGGTGTTTCGCATGCCTGAATCATTTCAGCATAAGCTTACGTCTCTTATTCGTCAGTTTCTTTGGGCCTCTTCCTGGGGTAACGGGATTTCTTGGAAAAAATGGACATATCTGTGTCTCCCAAAAGACTGGGGGGGATTGGGTTTTCGAAATCTTATGTGTTTTAACCAAGCTTTGCTAGCTAAACAAGCATGGCGGATTCTTTCATGTCCCAATTTATTACTTTCACGAGTGTTGCTTGGTAAATATTGTCAACGGCGTTCTTTTATTGACATTCGCCCATCTTCGTCCTCTTCATGGGGATGGCGGAGTATTTTATGGGGCCGTTCGTTACTTGCCTCGGGGCTTCAATGGGTAGTGGGGAACGGACAACGTATTAACCCATTTGAGGATCAATGGATTCCGATTGTTTCAAATCCTTGTAGAGGCCGCGGTTGGACTGCTATTTGTCCTGGGTTAAGGGTTGCACATTTCATAGATCCCGTGCTACGGTCTTGGCGTCTTGAATTATTGAAATTGTTTTTTCCTCCATATGTTCTCCCTTATATTGTATCAATGCACATTTCTCAAGTTGATATTGAGGACAAAATGGTGTGGGGTCCGACCAAAAGTGGTGAGTATTCAGTCAAATCCGGTTATAAGCAAGCGTTAACTCAACAGTTTCCCGACCATTCTAGGCCTGATCCGGATTGGCAAGTTTGGAAACGCTTATGGCAGTTCAAGATCCCCCCTAAATGGATCTTGTTTGTGTGGAAATGTCTCATAATATTCTTTCGGTTAAAACTGAATTAAAGAAAATGGGGATGCCAATTGATATTATTTGTTCTAGGTGTTTCCAGAATGCGGAATCACTTGAACATCTATTTTTTGATTGCCCCATTTCACAACGGATTTGGCGTGGGTCGACTTTGGGTTTAGATTTTGGGGTGGGAAGACCTCTATCCTTTTTTTCATGGTTTAAAGGCTGGGTGCAACAAATACATGACTCGGAGATTGTAATACATTCCATTGCTTTGTTATGGGCCATTTGGATGCAACGTAACTCTATAGAATTCCATAAAGTTGAGGTGTCCATAGAACGATCGATCATGTTTGCTTCCGAGTTACTAACATTATTTCTTTCACCCTTGCACAATGTTCCCTATGAGATTTCTCACTCTAGTTCTTCTCCTCAAACCAGTTTTGTTAAGCAGGTTATTTTACAGAATGCTCAGCCTTGCATTGTTGTTGGTCCGCGTATGCGTATTGTTGTGGATGGCTCTTGGGTTGCTGTAGGTGAGCGCACTGGTCTGGCGTGGGTTTGCTTCGATTCTGATGATCACCAAGTCTATGAGGAAGCTATTTTGGGACCTTCAATGTTATCTCCTCAATAGGTAGAAGCAGCTGCGGTTCTCCATGCTATGCGCTGGGCAATCCAGTCCGGCATCAATCATCTGCTTCTTCAAACAGATTGCTTAGTCCTTCTTCTACTGCTCCACCACCATGCTCAAGAATCCGATTGGAGTCTCCAATCCATTCTTGCTGACATTTTGTCATTGTGTAAATCTTTTGATCATGTTGTTCTACAAAAAGTGGACCGTGATGTGGTTCACGCTGCTCACAAACTTGCTACTGATGTAAGACTTTTTGCTTAGTTAATATTTATATTGCTGCGTTATCCTCAAAAAAAAAAAAAGATCTAGTCGGCTAAGAAAAACAACTTTTCCATTTCAATTATTATTACTTAGAGAAGGAGGGCAAAAATGGTTCGCAGCTCATAGGTGACTCAAAGCCCGTTCGCGGTCCAAAGTGGACCCAACCCGTTTGGACTGGGACTTTGGCCCAAGCCCCAAGTCCAACCCAAGTCTCTGGGCCATCATTTTGAAGCCCGACCCGACCCAACTCGTGCCCAGTATATCGACCTCCTTCAAGCCCACTCAAGGCCTGGCTTGCTCAAGACCTAGTGTCTTTTTTAATGAAAAATAATAAAAAAAAAATTTAAAAAAAAGTAAAAAAAATAGTTGAGCCTGCCCAAACCCGAGGCCAAGCCCAAGGCCCACAAACCCACCCAAGACCCAAATACCCCTGAATTTAGGGTTAGACCTAGGCTTAATTTTTTAACTCTTGACCCACCCCGGTCCAAAATTTTGATGAAAACCCACAAGGCCCAACATAGGCCGAACCAGGTTTACACCCATTATCTTTACACTAGTAGTGTACTGATAAATTTAAAAATATAAATTTTAATTTTAATTTGAAAGAACACAAGTGGTAAAGGCGAGTATACCAAACTGAAGGTCTTGATCACTTTCTCCCTATAGAATTTTGTATTTTAAATAGGTTAGAAGAAAATTTTTAAAAATCAAATGTTATCAACATCTTAAGCCACAATTTAGATCCTTAAATTTATCTACAATGATATAACAAGAGAGATAAACCCTACATAATTAAGTATATGAAAAATTAAAAATTAAAATGTATCATTCCGCAATAAATCTTAAACATCTTCTTTCCTTTTATAACATCTTCTTTCCTTTTATAATAGTATAGATATAGATAGATTATTCTTATTTATTTGTCCAAAGTGATGAATTAGTGAAAACCTATAACCAAAACATCCAAACCCGAGTAGGTCAATTGAATGGTTTATCATTGTATATGGCTTAAATTCAATTTAATCAAGTCCATTAAATTAAGAGAATACATCAAGGTATAGGATATGCTGAAATTGATCTCTTTTCAGACTGCAATCAGCAACATGAATAGATAGATATGAACCAATACATGCCATGAAATTGCACAAAACTTTTTGCAATCAACCAATATGAATAGTATGTTCAACAGTTGTATCACAAACAAATAGAAAGTGTAACAGTGACACTATCCTGAGTGACACTAATAAAATACCACAAATGAGATTAGTTAAACCTCCCTTACTTTCCACTAACCCAATCATGTAATCCCCATTACCTCCTTTGTACCCAATCTTACGGTGGGTAGGGGGGGGCTACACTTCAATAAATCAATGAATCAATATGCTAAAGGATGAGAAAGCAAGAAAGGAGGGAGATTTGAAAACAGTAGAAATTAAGCTCAATCTTGAAACTCCCAATATAAACATTACACAAAAGTGCATCACAAAATAGGCTAATAAAATCCAACGGTAGTTTGTCCTAATTTACCAACTTCCATCACCATCCTCAGCATAAAGAAGTGCAGGTACATCAACATCCATGATAACTCTGCCCCCTAAGCCCAGGAGTTCGATAACAATGAAATTAAAAGAGATTCACATGAAGTCCTACCACTTACCAATAGTCAGCTGCTAGTTCTTCAAAATCAAGCCGGATGGTCTCAATGCCTTCATTGTCAGGGACGAGGTTAGCTTTCAAAGCCCCGGACCCGGCCCGATCCGACCTCGGCCCCGTTTTTCCCCAAATAAAGTTACTTTTGTACCCCTCTCTCTATATTTGTGTGTCTCTTAATTTGTTGGCCTCATTTTAGGGTTATAGACACACATAAAACACATCAGTCCCTCACAGTGCTCTTCATAGCGCCGATCTCCACCGTTTCTCTATGCTCTTCACAGTCCCCGTTTCTCCGCCACCATTGCTCTTCCCTTTACTCTCTCTCACTCTTCCTCTGATATCTCACTGATTTTAATCCAAATCGTGCTCTAGTCGTTATTTTTGGCAACGAGAGAGAGCTTCGAGCCGTGAGAAAAATAAGAGAGAGAGAGAGAGAGAGAGAGAGAGAGAGAGAGAGACAAGAGAGCTACCATGGAGTGCTCTGATCGCCATTTCAGTCCCTTACAGTGCTCTTCACAACGTCGATCTCCTCCGTCGCCCTCCTTCACCGCCTTCCTCCACCGATCTCCTCCGCTACCCTCCTCCGTTTCTCTATCAACTTTATGAATTTGTTTATCTTTTAATAAAAAAATTAACACAGAATCGTAATTCTTAATCAATAAAAATTAGATTGAGACACCCAAAATTTACAGAAGGCCACCAAATAATTTTTCCATATTGTAAGTGGTGGTCTTATGCGTTATATATATATATATATATATTATAGATTGTAGCTCAAATCTGTGAGATCTATGTTGATCTTTTGTTGTTTTTTTTTTTGATATGTTGTTTTTTGTTGATATGTTGTTTGATGATGATCTATGTTGTTGATAATGATCTTCTTCTTTTTTTTTTTATTTTTTTTTTTATCTGTTGTCAAGGATTTTTCAAGGTCGATGAAACTCAATCCCCGTTAGGGATAGGGAAGCGGGGGGGATGATGGATTCCCCATTAGGGATCGAGGGGCAGGGACAGAGAATTTTGAACCTTCGGAGATCGAGAACGGGGAGTGTAATTTCCAACCTCGCCCCGGCCCGTTGCCATTCCTACTTCCTATTTTCCTTCGTGCCTTCTTCGCTGGCTACAATTGGAGAGTGATTGAAAGCTCTCCAAACTCTATAGTGAAGGTCTCTCCCACGAAATCGATCATCTTCTTCAACGCGAAATTGATTTTCTCCTTCAGTGTTGTTTGCAACTCCCTCCATCTGATCTCTTCCTCAAGGTATGGATCCTTCTATCCCTTTGTCTTCCCCTTTTATACAACTCATAAACCCCTCTCTCTCGGATCCTTCTATCTCTCTGTCTTCCCCTTCTACGCAACTCATAAACCCTCTCTCTCTCTCTTCAACTCTTCCCCTACCATATCTGAGAATCCCAAAATTGAAACCCCTATCTGTGAATCTTTTTTTCCCGTTTGATTTTTAGTTCCCCCCTTCTATGAACCCAATTTTTACCCATCTCTGTGAAAGCCCCTTCTCAAACCCATCTTCAAACCCTGATCCATTCTCGTTCGTCTATTGTCCCCCCTAAAATCCCACTACTTCATCACAACGCAAACCCTCTCTCTCTCTCTCTCTCTCTAGAATTCCTCATAAGGTATGTGAAACTCCTCTTCAATTCTTTTGATATCACATCTAAATTTTACTTTGTTCATTCTCTCCATGTTCTTCTCTTTGTTTTTCACATGTATGTATCTGAGATTGGTAGTCTTGTATGTTGCTGCTATAGTTGTTTAGATTTATGTATGTGAAAACATTGTTGATTTTAATTGGTTTAAATTTTTTTCTTTTTCTTTTTCTTTTTTTCTAAATTCAATTATCTTAAGACGCCAATTTGATGGGTTTTGGGAAAAATCAAATTGGGTTTGTTTTCCTTTTATCTAGTTCTTTGATTTGCAAGTTATGTTTATGTGTTTTAATTGGGTTTTGAATAAAATTTCTGTGAAATTTTGAGGTGGTGTTACCCTATTTCCTTGAATATGGATGATGTTTAGTTTGGTGGGGAGTGTGTAATAGATAGTTAGACAATTGTTATCTCTAGTTCAAGTTGCAATCCTGATCAATCGTGGGGTACCTGAGTCAAAAATCTTGAAATTGATCTTGATTCAATCGAAGTCTCTATTTGTTTTAGTTTAGTGAGGTTATTGATGAAGTTGAGAAATTGGGCTTTGATCCCAAAAATTTTCTATTTGTTTTAGCCATCCATTCATTGGCGATCATGTGCAAATCACTTTGGGAACAAAAATTGGGGCTTTATTGTAGTCTCGGGTTGTCGAAGGATAACATTATTTCAGCATTCAAATTGTAACCCATGTGTATGATTGCATCAAAGAAGAAGATCAAGAAGCTGATGGCGTTCTTTGTCAATGATTTGAAGTTAAAGCCTTCCATGATTTCCAAGAACCCAAATATTCTGCTTCTTAGCTTAAAGAAAAGGATTATTTCTAGGTGTTCAGTTCTACAACTTCTGATGTCAAATGATGCAATCAAAAAATAAATAAAATGTAAGCCTACTTTATGCATTGAGAATGACTGAAAAGATGTTTGTGAAAAGCTATGTGAGCAAGTATATGAATGTGATTCTTGAAGTTGTTGAGGCTCTTCAGGGAAAGATACAATTTCAAGTTTTTCCCATTGAGCTGAAAACAAACAATTGAAATCTGGTACAATGCCCAAGATATTGGTTTGAGATATTGTGTTCGGATTTGGCTCTTTTCTATTGAAGCAAGTGTAGTTAGGGATAGAAATTGTTTGGGTACATTAGTTGATGGAATAGCATAAGTTTTGTCATATTTTACCTTTTTTGAAAGTTGGGATGGGATGGAAATTGTTGGTGTTGGTGATAATTACAAATAAAACACTAGAAAATATAAATAATAAAAATTACAATAATTATTGAAAGGGCTGAGGCGCGGGAAATTCGCTCTCTTTAAGGAGATTCAAGCCCTCTGCGGTTAGGCATTGCCTCATACCGGTGCAGCAGAAAAAACCTTGACTTGTCCCCCCAGGATACAACAGCCCGACTAAGTCGTATAGTTAACTAATACT